TTTGCCAAATTGTTTATTTTTTGCCAAATGTTACACGGGTAGTAGTATTTTTTGCTGAATGTTACATGAGTGGCAGTATGCCGAATAATTTTTTTTCGACTAGTGATAGCATATTGTCCTGGAAAATATGCAACATGTTAACAGCAACATATAGAAAGCTCTTCAAACACAAAAGTTTATTATGCAGATCTATTTCCAACAGCGTAATACATCATTCAAAGATTCACAATTTGAAAAACATCTGGATGCTATAAAAAGAAAGTCAGATAACAGGATTGTGCAAAAGATTGAATGAGCTTGGACCAAGAGGAATCACAACAATAATAAGGCTTAAACAAGCACAAATCAAATATTGGGAACCACTTAACTTGCTGACTTGTGACTCACTAAACCATCTTATAGACAAAAGTAAATTTTCGCTATAAGTAATTATGTTAGCTAGAGATATAGGAATTATCTTTCAAAGTTGGAAAAGGCATAATATCTTTGAATGGGAAAAAGAAAACAGTCTTATTCAAGAATATCTCTCACCTGAGAAGTATAATAAAGTCATACCATCACTAAGAAACAATAGGTTGATGTATATAGATCAGCTCATTGACTATAAAGCAAATGAAGTGTGAAATTGGTGCATACTCCAACTCATCCAAAAAACTGACAAAGGTTCTATTCCAGAATAGTTCTTAAACATAAGTAGAATATTCCTCAAAAATCATTTAAATCAACTTATAGAGACATGGAAAATAGATTGGTTAAAATGGGAGCCAACATATTCTATAGTCAGCCCTAACCATGACAAAAGACAAAAAATATGGATAATTAAAAAGAATGTCAATCACCAATTAATATGGGAAAAGCTACTACAAGAAGAATCTAAGAAAAAAGTAAAAATTGAATACTATAAGTGTCAGAATATCAAAAATGGTCAAGAGACAAAGCTAATCAAATGCATGGGTTACTCATAAGGTTTTATTCAAGAAAAGAGTTGCATAATGAAGGAAGATATGGAAAAAATATATATAATATCATATCTTAATACAAGAAAAAGTACAAGGAGGGCCCAGATGCTAATAATCCCATATTTTACAATATCTTTGGAAAGAGCAATTAGGAAAACAATAGACAGCAATCAAGTATTTGTATAAAGTCTGCAGGGGCCAATCCAGTAGTCCACTTCCTAAGATACCAAGATGGATTATGTAAATATAGAAAGTTGAGAAGAAGCAATCATTAAAGAAAATATTAAAGATGGAGTATATCAAGACCATCTAATAGAGATACTTCAGCGGAATCTAGAATCCAAACAAAAGTTAACATTCTATTCAAATGGATCACTAATAAATTATGGCATTGAAAATATAAAAATGGAAACAATATGGATCCAAATAAATGATATAGAAAAAGAAAGTAGATTTCAAACAGGGATAGATAGTTGGACTTCATTCACATGTGTAGAACTAATGTCAATAGTTATAATACTCCTAGTAGTTCCAGTAGGTAGCTCAATTAAAATCTCTACAGATAGTCAAGCCTACATCTCAAAATGAAAAATAGTTAAGAAAGATAATCCAAAAAAAACATATAAAAGATGGCTAAAGGATAAAAACTAGTTACTATGGGTATGAATAGTAGAGCTGATTAAAAAAAAAGATTTAAATCTGAAGCTTATCAAGGTCAAGGCACATTCTTGAGACTCCTATAATGATGAAGCAGATGTTCTAGTCAAAGATGCTCTTATACTTCCAGCAATAGAATGGAAAAATCTCATCTTATATAAAATCCCTACAAAAATCAAGTGGCAGAACAAAACTGTAGATGATCTCATAAGACAATTTATCAAGAAGATGAATAATAATACTACAGCATATCAGTAAATATTACAAAATAGAATGGAAAAAAAATGGAGCCACCAAATTCAAGAACAACAAGATTATTTATGAAATCTAGTATAGGAGAGAATGAATAGTCATATGTGAAAACATCTTTCAAAGATTGTCAAAGAAAGAGCTTTCTAATTAAGTTAATGAATGATGAGCTACCAACACTGAGTAAACTGATGATAATAAGGTCAGACCCATACAAGCAAGTGAAATGTACTGCATGTGATTTTCAGAAGGAAGAAACAATTAATCACTTGCTAGAATGCCCAGCATATAAGGAACAGATGAAGAAGATATAGAACAAAGGTCTTAAAGTAGTTCTGACAAATTTCAGAAAACTTTTACAGGAAAGGAAAAAGGAAGCAGAAGAGAAGAATACTAGATTAATAGTAGATAACAGTAAAGAAATAGATAAAGTAGACAAGTAGACTTCCAGGCTAGTGGAACATTTCTCAGCAACTAGTCTGGATATGTTAAGTTTCTTTACAGGATTAGTAAAACACAAACTTATTATTGAGATGGTAGATCTTAAATGTTATAGTAAAAGAATTGGAAAAGAAGCAAGAAGATAAATCAAAAAGCTATAAGGTATGACTTGTAATCAGTTTTGGAAGAAGGTTTGGAATGCAAGATGTAAAAGAATGATAAAATGGGAAAGATTGCAAGGAATCTGAAAGAAGAATAAGATAAAAAGACCCCCTAATCTCACAGGCACCAAAACTATATGACTGGAAAGGAAAACTTTGATATTGAAAGAAGAAAGATTAGAAAATAAAAACCTAAAAAATATCTTATCAAGAGGAGTTAGATTTGGGATGAGATGGTTGGGGTTTGAGTAATGTCAGAACTTAAAGAGTAATCTGCAGTAGTGATCTGCAGGCAATGATATTAAGAGTTAAAAGAGTTTTCACTTGAACTCCTAATGGAGCAACAAATCACTCCCAAAGTTGCATTTAGAGTAGTAATTACAAAGACGAATGAGCTAGTTAATGTTTTTTAGCTTTAGCAATTCATACTATATGTACAGTTTACAAATATTTAATAAAGCACATATAACTAGCCTGACAGAAAGTTAAAAAAAAAAAAAATAGAATTATTAAACACTAAAAAAAAAATATTACTCTTTCTGCTAATCCTTTGACCACATACAAAAAAGATGTTTACAAAAAGTTTTATATTTCCTTGCTAATAAAATCTTTATACTTTTATTATAACAACTTGAAACTTATTTTAATTTATCTCTCCTATCCTTCCTTACTTGTTTATAAACTCCTTTGAATAAAAACTTGAGTCTCTAGTGATCTGAAAAAACTCAAGTACACATTTTTTCTACTAAAGACAAGAAGGTTCTAGGAAGTAAAAGGACTGACAAGTGGAGTATCACCTTACAGAGCTAGAAGTGACAAGAAATAGAGGTTCTGTTGATAGAAGAAGACTTATTTTTCACTTTCTCATATACTATCTTTTACTCTCTTAAAGTACTTACTGATTTTTATGGTTTTCTTAAGGGATTTTGCCTATTTCAGTTTAATCCTGAATTTTTAGTAGCACAATGTCACCTGGCATCTGATTGGTTAATATGTAATATGTTAGTAGCTAAATATAAACAAGCTTTTATTGATCATCTCATGTATTTCGATAACATCATTAGTAATAAAAAGAGAAATCAAGGATACGAACTTCTTTAAATGAAGTTTAACTGAAGCAAAGAAATAATGAGGCCATTAGAATGAGCACTAAATTTCCTACATAATAAAAAGGTAATTATTTATTCTAGCTGAGACCTTCAACTTCTTATTATCCTGATAAAATAAAGTATATGAAGGAGGTTATTTCTTTATTCTGATCAAGCTATAAGATCAAAAAGCAGAGAAATATAAAACACTGTCCTTCTCTAGGATTGAGAATGCATTTCTCCAGATGTTGTGTAATAATATCACAATTAAAATAAACATCAGTAAAATTTCTTTAATTAGGTATGGCTGCTAGAATATATCAGAAGTTACTTAATAAGACTAAAAAGTCACATAAGAACCTGAGATCTACCATTAGTCATTTTCTTCTGACAGTTGGATACAAAATCAAGACCAAAAGAAAGGAAGCATTGAGCAAGATACTGGATCTGAGTAGGCAATAAGTATCTTAGACAGTCACAAGAAAATAATCAAGAGTACAGATAGTTAAGTTCCTCATATGGTCAGAAAGAAGAAGAATATTCTAGAAGAGTTGACTCCTAATGAGAAGAGGTTTCTAGCAGAGGTCCTTTGGAGAATATGGAGTGCTTTTATTTTTTATTTTTTCTTTTCATTTTTATGTAGCACAGTTGTGTATTTTTTAGATATTCCCTTTCCTTTTATTTTTCTTTTCCCTTTTTGTAGTTTCTTGAATTCAATTCCTTAAAGGATAATAAGCAGTGACAACCTGCTGGCAATGATGGGTAAGTTAGGAAGGTCTTCACCCAAAATTTACTTCAGAGTGAAATATTGTCTTCAAGGTTGCACTTAGAGGCTGAAGCTCTTTTGAGAATTGAAAGCCATTGATGAGTGTGTCAGTACAAGTCTTTTAGTTTAGTCATGATGCAATTGCCCTATGTATCTCAATCAGTTTTCTCAATGATTAATAAACACACAGTACTGGCCTGACCATGGGTTTAAAAAAAAAAAAAAGAAAAAAAAAAAAGTATTAATTGTGTATGCTGTATAATGAAATTATAAATACCAATAGGCAACACTTTAATAAAGGTAAGAAATACTTTGCGCTTTATTTTTATAACAATATTGGAAAAATGATTAGGCCATAATTAAAAGCATAAGTGTGCTATTTATATGAATAAGATTTTAGGACCTTGTGAAGGTGCACAATTATTAAGCGGATAGATATAAACTCAATATCATAAAAGAGACAAATTACATAATATTTTACCTAGTAATTTGAAATTTGAAGTTGAATTTTCGACTTCTTTTCAAGGGACTTTCAATTTCATTAGAGACAAATTTTTAGTTGGAACCCTCTTGACACTTAAACGTTTAATTTACCACGATTATTATTAACTGACAGGTTCAATTTTTATTTAAATTGCAATAGTCGTAATAGCCACATACACAACGCAACTGGTCTTTCCTATAAATCAGCAGTCAACACCTTTTTCAAATCCTCCCAAGCCTTTTCTTTATTCCCTTCACGGAGTAAGGTCCTACTCCGTTCACAATAAATCACCCAACTTCGACTGCCACAGTCACCATCTTCTAATGCCGCATCAAAGTCTGCCAGTGCCTTCTCATACTCCCCCAGATCACTGTGGGTCATACCTCGAAGGCTAAAAACTCTACGTTTTAAATTTCGGTATTCATCATCCCTCTCCAGGTCATCGCTTCCGAAATTTGGATATCGTATTTTATTGAGAACGACCAATGCATTTTTATATTCCTTCATGGATCGATATGTACATGCAGTGAGAAATGGTTGATGGATTGAATAATAGGTGCATTCTTTGAAAATTGGAAATATAGACGAAGAATCAATCGAAAAATGTAACCCTGAGTGTTTAGACACATGGGAAACTCTGCCAAGGCTATCCAAGGCATCTTCATATCTATTTAAATGATAATATGATTCTGCTCTCAAACATAATAATTTCCTCAGAACATCCTGTTCTTCTGTAGACAGTACATTTCTTAATCCATAAGGTTTAACCTGTGGATCTAGTAAATTGCTAAAATCACTTAGAGACTTCTCATATTCACCAATCTCTAAATGAATCTTTCCTCGGTTAAACAATGCTTCAACATGAGTTGGTTCAATTTCCAGAATTTTGTTGTAATCCGACAGCGAATTAAAATACAGACTAAATTTGAAAAGGATTTTTGCACGAACCAAGAGTGCATTAATATTTGGTGATAAATTATCTTTCGAATGTATTTCAGTAAATGTATTTAGATACTCGAGTGCTTCTTGGTATTTTCCAAGTCTGGCATTAATAAGCCCCTTTAACTCGTATATTCTCTCATTCTCGTATGAAAGTTCAATTGCCTGATCCAAGTCTTCAAGTGATTCCTCGTACTTTTTAAGTTGAGCGAAAGCTTCTGCACGATCTAATAGAACGTCCGGATCAACCGGCTGTAGTTGCAGTGCTTTGTTAAAATTTTCTATTGCTTCTTCAACATGTCCGAGTAACATTTCGGATTTTCCAAGATATCTGTAAGCCGACGAAAATTTATTCCTTGTTAGAGATAATTTTAAACGATACTTGGCTGCGAAAGGGTCATTTTTCAAGTAATAAATTCTGCCCAGTAACCGTTGTATATAATCACTTTGGGGATCTTTTAATAATGCCTTTGATAAATGATATAAGGCGTTGTCGTAATTTGATTGGTTTCTGTAAATTTCTCCGTATTCGATATGGGCGTCAACATCGTCGGGTAAAATGGTTGTGGCATCATTAAGGTCTTTTAACGCCTCGTCGTAGCGTTTCATGAGGCGATAAAGATGGGCTCGCTTAACAAGAAATTTCGCGTCTAGAGTTTTCGCAATTTGAGAGTTTAATATATCCAATTGGTTGTTGTGTCTGTATGGGAAATGAGAGCGATGATTGGGTTTTTTAAATGCTACGCTTAAAAGATCATATTGAACAAAAATAATATAACTTAAGTACCTATTTGCGAATTCGGTGTATTGCATTTTCAAAGACCTTGCCTTTTCGTTACCAGGATCCAGTTCCAAGGATTTGTCTAGATCTGATAAAGCTTTTTCAATGCATTTGAACATTTTAAATATTTTCGCGCGAATGACGTATGTGGTTGACTTCTCGTGTAACTTCAGCGCCTCATTGATGTCCAGAAGTGCCTTATTGTATTGTTTAAGTTCGTAATAAACCTGTCCGCGTTTTCTAAGAAATGACGCGTCGATTTTGTGGCCTAGGCTCAAAGCTATCTCAAAGTTCTTTAATGATGAAGAGAAATCCTTTGTGACAAAATTAATTTTTGCATATTTCGCAAAGGCTAATGAGTTGTTTGGATTTTGATTACATGCTGTATTGAAATAATATGAAGCCAGTTCAAAATATTTCAACTTTTGCGAGAATGTACCACATAAAATAAGTAATTCGCAAACATCTTCATTCCTTACAACCTTCCTCAAAAATCCCAGCCCCTCCCCGTATTCCTTCATATCTAAATAAATTCTGCCACGCTGAAGTATGGCATCCCTATCGGAATAATCGGTCTTCAGGATCAACTTGTCCAGATCGGAAGCCGCGTTTTTAATTTTGCCCACATTTTTATTAAGGATCGCTCGAGACCTCAATGCGTTGGCAGCACGTGGATTGTCGGGATCCTTTGTAAGACCTTGAGTGAACATCTTCCTTGCTGCCTCCAAATTTCCCAGAGTAAGATGAATTTCTCCACAAAAGTAGATCGCGTCCACTTTGGTAGGGTCTGATTTTATTGCTTTGTCCACTTCCTTTAGTGCCAAATTATTTTCGCCCATGTTTGAATATACCGATGCTCGATCATAAAGGATATAATAATTGTCAGGGTACATGTTGATCAGCTGATCCAACAAAGCAATCGCTTCAGAATATTGTTTAGATTTCATTGCCCTATTTGATTTTGCTCGAATTGGATGAAAGGACAAAGGAATTTTGGATCTAACGGTTTTGCGTTCTTCCACACTCGTGGAATCCTTTGCTTTCGTGCCAGATTCGTCGTTATCCTTTTTGATGACTTCATTGCAAACCTGTAATTGCGCTATTCATTAATTTTATTAATATTGGTTTATTAGTTAATTTAGTTTAACTACCTCTGCAGGTTCTCGACCTTTCTTTTGTGACCAAGGGTTAAAATACTTTGACATCTTAAAAAAAAAAAAATGTTATAGCTTTATAATCTCGGTACAAAGAGTGAATTTTATTCTCAAGCTGTGAAGTTCACGTGAACAACTTAAAAATTCTAAAAAGAATAGGTTTCCATTGTGGTGCCTATGCATAGATCTTATATTGGACATATTACAAATACCACGACATCGGCTAACACATAAAACTCTACTTTATTTGTATATATTTCAATGGAGACGTTCGCCGCATTCTTATCGAGCATATCAATTGTTGATCTGGTTGACCAACTCACGGAGATTCGGAGCGCATGAAGTACGCATGTGAACTGTACTCCCTTAAAAATGCCTTCTGCATGAGGGAATCCCCAATCTTAGAGTTTGATGGAATGATAAAATTGTAAATAAAGAACGACCTAGTTATTTCTAAAAACAATTACCCGGCGTCTAATGAGGTCCATTCAAAAAAATTTTTTTTCCATTTTAACTCGTCAGTATAGCTATATAAGAAAAGTTTTAACAATAGTTGTTAATCCATTTTTTTTTTTAAAAAAAAAACTTTCAATTCCTTAATAAACAATTGTCATTTTATATCATAGTTTGTAGTACATGCAGTATGCTCGTATTTACAGTAATTCAAATATTTCTTCCCTTTATTTTTTAAATTTCCATTTACCAAGTACAATTTATTATTGACTATTGATCGATTAAAAGTGATAATTAATAATAAGCAAATGAAAATAAGAAAAAAAATGATCAAAAAACAAGGTTTATTAAAAATAAAAATTGTATATACAAGATACAGTAATCAGTCTCTTGTTTGACCATATAATAGATATTTTTTGTCGATAAAACTTCAAATATATAATAAAAAATTAGTAAATAGAATTAAATAAAAATAAATATAAAACAATTAAAAAAATATCTTAGTTTTTATATAATAATGACCTGTAAATTAATAGTTCAGGTAATAGAGCTTTAGGTTTAAAATAAAAGTTTCAGTTCAAATCTATCAAAGGACAATTACAAATTTAGAATAAGATTTTTAACTTTCTATCAATTATGGGATTGAAATAATTATTCATAAAAATTGCATAAAAAAAGGTTTCTAATCTAATAAAATATGGCTTTACTTCAATAAACTCTATCTCAAACTGTATTAGCAGACTTTGAAATTTTACTTTTAGGATTGCATTAGTTATTTGAACATCTTTATCTTAAAATCATACTCGTAAACTTCAAAACTTGATCATTCTAACTTGAAATATTTCAATCCAATATAGACTTAAATAAAAAATATTAGTAAGCATATCATGTTTATAATATTACAAATAATAACAAAAAATATTAAAATTTTTTAGATTCAAACAAAAAATATTAGAATATATAAATAATTAATTCTTAAGAATTTATGCTTTAATATATAGACAAATATATATAATATAATAAAAATTAGATAATATAAACTTGTGAATTAATAGCATAATAAGAGTATTCCTAAGTTATAATTATAATATATATAGTTTAATACTATTTAAAGATCAAATTAAATATTTATCTTTTGATCATAGCAAACTATTTCTACTAATCCTCTAACCATATATAAAAAGGTATTCACAAAAAGTTTTTAACTTCTATGCTAATAAAACTTTCACATTCTCTTTATAACAACTTGAAAATTTATCTTCAAGAACTATTTCTACCTTCTCTTTACTTGTTTACAACTTTTTTTTTATTATAAACTTGGCTTTTAATGATCAAAAAATCAAGTAATACCTTTATTACTTATGACAAAAAAAGCTCTTAAAAAAAAAAAACCAATAATGAAGTATCTAAAAGCCTTCTTCATCTTTATTAAGACTAAAAAGATTCTGTATAGTAAAAGAAACTTATTATTCTTTCTCTTTTATTATTATTTACTCTTAAAGCTATTAATTTCACAGTTTTCAAAGGAATTTTACCTATCTCGGTTTGATTTTGAATTTAAGATTGCATAAATCCTTATTAAAGTTACAAAATACGTCAGTTTTTGGAATATAAATATGCTCCTATTGATTACATACACATGTCTGAATAAGACACTGCTTCTTAACATATTATTGAATATTAAAAAAAGAATAATCTTCAGAAAAACTATTTATGTCACTTAGAAAAATAAGAAGAATAAAATGCTCATGAAAATATAAAATAAAGATAAAATCTTAAAAGTGTACTATTTATTTATACAAGCCTGAAATACTGGATAACTATAAGATTTCCTGAAATTATTTATACTAATTAAAAATAAAATTATTAGTAGAAAATGCTGATATAAAGTGATATAGTAAATCAATTTCTTTATTATAATAGTATTTCAAAAGTAATATTTATTAAGGTCAATAAAGGTATATGTCAAAAAAATCTAGATTTCTTTTTTAAATAGGTTATTATAATAGGTAAATAAGAACATATTCACTGAATAATAAAGATCACATCTCTTATATCTATTCCTTATAGTTTCTCCTTTTCTAACTTTATTTAATTCCAGTTTTAGCCATCCTTGAAAACTCTTTTGACTTATTTATTTACTTGAAAAAATATCAAAAAAAAAAATTCAACATAAGTAGGATAAGATAAAACATAAGATCGAAACTGGAAAACACAAGAATATAACATTGAAGTATTAAAAGCAACAAAGAAATAGACAATATACTCTCAATTGATAGGTTCTTGAAAAGTACTTAGCTAATAGTACAGAAACAGTAATAATAGCATTGTCTCAAATATTGATTCTATAGTAAATTATTATTTTTTCTCTTTTATCAAGTTCTTTTAAAATATGAGTAGAACCTTCTCTCCTATTAATTCTTATAAAGCAATTGTCTTTAATTATTTCTCCTAGTAGTAAACAACTTTTCAAAAAGATTAGTATATGAATACATATCCCCTTACTAAATTAAAATAGATAAATCAGATTCAATATACATAATTAATCCTTTTTAAAAATTTTTGTTATTTTAATGATCCTTTCATTAGGTTTCTATCTGAAGATGACTCAACTATAAGATGGTTTCTTGATCTATTATTAGTTTATTAGCTTATAATTGTTTTCTTTTAATCAAATAACTTATATAGTAAAATTTTGTTAATAAATTTGAACAAATTAACATTAAAAAAAATTTTTTTTTATCTTATAATTAAACTTATTAATTATTATAAAAATTATACTTATTTATTTAAAATAACTTTAAATTTAATTAAATTATATAAAAATATAACTTTTGATCTTTATTAATCAGAAGCTAAGATCATTAGTTATATTATTAAAAAAATCTTATAAAAAAAAATCTTGGATTTAAATTATTATAAATTCTTTATATAATCTTTTATATTAGAAATTTCTAAAACTTTTTAATTATTTCAACTTAAAAAAAAATTTTTTTTAACACTGGTTCAGCCTTGTTTTATTTGTATATTTGTAGCAAAATTATATAAAAAGGCTACCCTAGAACTTACTACCTGTTTTCTATCAAATAAAACTCAATAGAGAATTCCCTTTTATGGGAATACTCACCTTGCAGCTTGTTATTACCCCTTGTAAGGGGGCTAACCTGCCAAGGTTAGACTAGTGCTAAAATAAACTTCAAAGATAAACAAGTTTTCTATAATATTTGTGAGTTACTGATCTATGAAGTTATTGATTAGGTTAATATATTGATCTTTTATATATCTTTCTCTCAAGTTAAATGATGAATCTTTCTTTTTGAACTTGTATTTTCTTGTTTCTCTTTTTTTTTGTGATGTCCATAGTGACCTTCCACTTCTGAAATATTTCACATCTTTCTGTCCAAGTTTTGTAAAGAAAATTGATTATATCGGTGTGTATTTGGGTGAGGTAGATTTTTCTGTTCAGTCTATCTGGAATAGCAGTTTGGATATGGAAGACTAGTTCTTTGAAGAAGATATCTCTAATACTTGCTATTAAGTATTCTTTGTATCTCCAGTTTATTTTGTTTGGGAATTTGCTTTTAAACTTCTTTTCCTCTTTTTGTGTTATATAGCTTTTGATATAGGTGGTTACAGTGTTGATTAGAAACTCTTCAGTTTTGGATCTAAGTTGATTACAAATGAATAAATGTATACTAGTCTCTGGTTCATAGTATTTGAAACATTTGTTGTCTTTGTATAAGGAGAGAATTCTAGCATGTAATTTGCTTTTGATTGACAATTCGTCATTTCAGATGTTAAGACAAAATTTTCTGAGTTTTTGATCTTCTCAGTTAGTGTGATAGTTGCTTATTTTGATTGGTTGTAGTAAGGTAGTAGTTGTCTATCAATATATTTCTTTTACTATTTTTTTATTATAGTTGCATCTTATTCGATTGAGGAGTCTTCATTTTGCTAGGTGAATTGTTTAAATGAGTTTTTTTGTGATTAGTTTTATAGGTTTTCTATAGAGATGTAGTTTCATTAAGAACTTATATATAAGAGACCATGTTGTGTTCTTAGGAACTTGATCACTTTCTTATCCAGTTTCATTCCTTTCCATTTGTCAATCTGTGCTAGGTGGTCTGCTTGTTCATTGTGTTCAATTCCTGAGTGTCCCTTTATTTTGCGTAAAAAGAGTTTTATTTGATTTTGTTTATATAGGCCTGTTATTTAGAGCAGGAGGTTTAAATTTTTTTTTGTTTTTATAATTTTTCTTGTGATTTTTTGGGGGGTTTTGAGAATGCCATCAATCATTGCCTGGCTATCTATGTACAAGGTTGCTGAACTATATTCAGGTAGAATACTGAGTGCTATGAGGATCACTGTGATTTCTGCTCTGGTAAATAATGGGTGTGTCATTACTTGTCCTTAAAAAGTATGCTCCTTCAAATCTAAAGTAATGATGACCCAACCCAGACCCATATAGTATTTTCCATTGAAGTTGTTTAGAGAGCTATCAAGGAATATCTCAAAGATGGTATAGTTTTCTAGCTTTTCTCTAATTGTTACTAGTGCTTTCAGGTTTTCTGTGGAGCTGTTGGGTAGTTTGTTCAAGT